CTACCCCTGCAACTGACTGACGCCAGGGACCCAGAGGATTCATGTGCTGGCTGCTGGGATTGATTTGCTCCCCAGGATCCAGACAGGCTTACCACAGTTTGCTGACTGGATGAATGAATGAGTGAATGAATGAAGAGTCTCTCCAACCTGTCCTTTCTCTCCATACTGTGCCCATCTGTCATTGATCATTTCACTGTCAAAGAAGATTGAAGGGGTGTCCTAAACAATCTACCTTCTGGAGTTCTCTATTAATATTTGCAAGCCCCTCAGAAGGGAGATCCCTGGGGGCAGGGACTTGTCCAGAGCTCTGCTGTACCCTCAGTCACTAGAACAATAATAACTGCCCCCCCCAGCTCAGAGCTCAAGAGGCTATCAGCTGTTGGACGGTGGGGTGTGTGGGAGGGGACTGAGACAGGGAGGGGGGCAGGGATGATCAGTTTGACATAGACAGAGAGGGGGAGCGGGGAACTGGGGAAGGCATCAAGGAATGACTCATCGCCACATTTCTCAGTCAAGGCCACTCAGGCCCACAAAATGAAAACGGCTTGCCTGGGGTCACAGAACAGAGCACCTAGTGGATAGCCGGGGTCTCCTTCCTGTACACCTCTCCACGCCCAGCCCCTGCGGCCCGACACTCCCCAGGTGTCTGTGCCTCTGACATGCTGAGACTTTGGCTTTCAAGGGTGAGGGGCAGGTACTGGGTCTGGTCCAACCTCTCTCTTTCTCAGGGTCATCACAGGTCAAGTTCAACTGAAGTTGAAGCTTTTAAAATGAAACTCCTACCCCAACCCCCGCAGCTCCCATCCCAGACTGGAGAAGGGCGCTGACTCCTAAATCTGCCCACCTCCCCTGAGAGAAGGAGAGGGACTGAGGAGCGAGTAAAAAGTGGAGGTGTGTGAATGGGGCGCAGTTGATCTCCTTTGGGCAGAGCAAGAAAAGGGTGCCAGAAGAAATGTGCCACCAGGACTGGGTTGGCTTGTGTGGAGATCTGCGCAGGAGATGCGTGCTGGACATAGGAACACTGTGTCCGCTCCAGCTCCATGGTCTGAATCCCCCTCCTGCCACCTCCAGGATAGCGGGGTCCCGAGTCTCCGGTGAATTAGAAGATGCCTGTGCACCCTTGGAAGGACTAGCTGGTCCCGGTGGGGGCTCCCGGTGCAGCAAGCCCAGCCCTTCATTTGGGGCAGTAGGACCCAGGGGCGGGAGAGCGCGCAGAGAGGGGCGGGAGCCGGGGCGGGGCGGTTTGGGGGAGGAGGTTCTTGGCTTTTTTTTTCCTTTTTAGCGGAGCTGGGGCGCCCTCCGGAAGCATTTCCAACTTTCCAGAAGTTTCTCGGGACGGGCAGGAGTGGGTGGGGAGATCCATATATAGAACCCGAGCCGCGGCAGCGGACGGAGAGTAGAATCTTGTCCGCAGCTGCAGAGAGTGACGGGCGTCCGGGTCCAGGTGAGGGGCCGGGGCGGCCTGGGGGCAGCCGGGGAGCGAGGCGGGGCAGATGGCCCCAGGAGGGCTTGGGGCCCTTAAACTGGAGTCCTTGGCATTTGGGAGCACTGGGGAGGGGCCTTCAAAATCGGGGCGCTGGATGGTGGTGGAGCCTGAGGGCGGGGGCAGAGAACAGGCCCGGCTGGGGAGTCTGTGCACCGGAGGAGCTGGACAAAGTGCAGAGCTCCTAAAAGTGGGAAAAGGCTGGTGGCGGCAGACAGGACGGAAGAGATAGGTTCCAGCCTCTTCTGCAGGGCTTGGGCCCGCCAGCTTCGCCCTTGGAGGTGCCGGCCTGGAGGCCTGGACGCCAGCATAATGGATTGGTGACCCAACTGCTGAAGCTTGTTGGGGGTCATCTGAGAGGTGAAATCCCGCTGGCCTTTGCTGGGTGGGAGTCTTGGCGCTTTAGGTCCCTATACCAGGGAGGAGTCCCCACTGGTGGCTGCATTTCTGATCAGCAGTGGGTGGCAGCTGAAGGAAGGGCCTGAGCACACCACTCTAGCTCCGAAGGGTCTGCACCCCTAGGGTGAGGGAGGGATGACCAGAGAGACTTGAGTCACCTCCTGTTCTGCCCACCCCCTTGGTTCCTGAGGAACCGCAGGGTTAGGCTTCCCTGCCCCCAGCGCAGGGACATTCCTGAGGCGCCTGGAGAGGGGGAACAAGAGCACTTCCAGCCTGGCCTGAGGACCTGGCCCCTCCTCTTCCCGGTTTCCTGCTGGTCTGTCTGGGCTGCAGGGCCCAGATGGTGGTCTGGGGGAAAACTGGGGGTTTTCGCTGCCTGGAAGTTTGACTGGGACCACACCCTTCTGTTTTCAGAGGGTTCCTGTGCCCATCCCCCCTTCCTGTCCCCTCTTTTGTCTCTGGTCGCTGGGATTCCCAGCGGAGATTTTTTTATGTGTTCTGGCAGTGTAATAGGACACCACATGCAGTGCTCTGGAGGGCTCTGAGTTCCGGGAGGTCGGAGCTCTGCATTAGGACCCTTGCTTTTGTCTGTGGGACTGGGGTGACCGCTGCCTGGGGCTTGGTTTCTCCCCTTGGACCAACCATGAGGCGTGCGACCTCCAGTGTCCCAGTAATTCAAAGAGGGGTGCCATTTGGGGGCTGGGCCTGGCAAGCCCCTGCTCCCCACCTTCTCTGTGGGGGTCCCAGCCTCCTCATTTTTCTGTTTTCTTTCAGAATGAAAAAGGCAGGCATTGACTATCCTCTGAGGCAGTTTCAAGGTACTTTAGACCCTTCCAGTGTTGGAGACCCTGTGGTGGTCCCAGCATCACCTCCCCTTCCAGTCCCGGCTCCGTCCAGCCAGCTGTGGGCACAGCCCTGAGCCAAGTGATCTTCTGTTTTCCTTCCTGGGGCTGCAGATTATTTCACCTTAGCCTTGGGGCTGGCATTTCCCCATGGCAAGATGGGCTGTGCTGCGGGAAGCTGGCTGGCTTGCAGTGGCTTGCCTTCCTGTTCCTGGTGCTGGTTTAACAGGGCCTGGCCGCTCCCTGCAGAGACAGAAATGCAGATGCAAAACCAAGGCCGGGGAGGTTCCTAGAGTCCCTAGAAAATCTGTGGCACCCCTAGGATCTAAGTCCGAGTCTCTTGCCTCCCAGCCTGGAAGCCCCCCTCTGCTGGCCTGCAAAGATAATTCAGCCTCCTGCCTGCCACGTCACCATCACTGGGAGCAGGAGCTGTGTGGCCGCCAGAGAAACCCAAACCAGTCATCTGGAGCCCTTTTGAGAAGCCCCTCCCAGCGTTTGAGGTTCTGGCTGGCTGGGGGCAGGGGCTGTCAAGATGGTGGCTGCCACGCGGCAGCCTAGCTCTTTCACTGCCTCCCAAGGAAGGCCATGCTTGTGGCTTCTGCAGCCTGCCTGAGCTCTGCCACTGGTTATCTGGATTAGAGATGGCCTTTGAGAACGGTGGCCATGTGCTTATTGTCCTAGCATTTGTTTCACTCTCTGGTTGCTTGTTTGCAAGGTAAATGGTACGGTCACTTTGCCTTTGTGGTCTGAGGCCTGGTGGGGAAGGAGTCAGGGCTGGAAAGGAAGGGGCCTGGGGCCTAGTCTGGGCCTCAGGACCCCCATCTCCTTGAACACTTTGCTTCTTTTTCTGCATGGCACCTTCAAGGTCCTGGGGAGGGCAGCAGTGCAGGGAGGTGGAAAGGTCCTGGGTTTATAGGATGCCAGCTATAGAATCTTCCCAGGAGTCCAGTGCGCTCCCTTGGCAGGCCAGAGTCCCCATGGTTTTCCACCAGGATTTTAAATTTTCAGTTTTTCTTGGGGAGTGTTTGGTCGCGAAATTTGACCTGCCAGAGCAGTGGAGTCTTGGCTTCCACCAGGGTTCCTCCTGATTCTTCCTTCTGTCCTGTCCTGTCCTCTCCTTTCCTGCTGCATGGAGAAGAGGGGGAGAGGATGGAGGGCAACCTTGAGACCACAGAGCAGATGGCCTATGTGGCGGGGAGTGTATGATGGGAGGACAGAGTAGGATCTAATGTGGCTCCAATTTCTGGGGGGAGGAACACACAGGATGACCAGCCCGTGGTGATGGGGGAGGGGGCCAGTGCTCTGTTGAGCTGTGACTCATCTCCAGTATCCTGACCGAGCTGCTCTCTCAGGAAGCCCCTCTCCTGGTTTCCAAGGAGTTGGTGCCAGGAGCTGTTGTCCTTGGATTTCCCTTTTGGTCCAGGGCCTGTGCACAGGTATGCAAGTTAAATTCTTGCGCCCTGAGACCTAGACCCTTGGTGCTTGTAAAAGGAACACAGCAGTGTGTGTGTGTGTGTGTGTGTGTGTGTGTGTGTGCACGTGTGTGTACACTCATTCAAGATCTCCTTAGGGGCAGTGGAGTGCAGCATCTGAGCTCTCCAAATTAATGAGTGACTCATTAACATCCCGAGCAGAGTGAGAGGTGTGTGCTGGGGGTGGGGTGGGGCACAGGCCTACCGACCTGTCCCACATAGCATCCTTTGCTTGAACACCTGGGCTTCCTGCCGCTCCACAGGGAGCTCAGCTGCTGCTTTTTCTCACTGGAGAAAGGCCCTGAGGTTTATGTGAGATCAGAGCTAAGCTCTGTATAACAGATGAGGACACCCTGGCTTGACTTGCCCAAGGGGCCCTGTTTTACCTTCACTCAGGAATAGCTGGGCCCTGTCCTGTCCAGACATTGGGAATGAACCAGATTGACGAGGCCTCCTGTCCTGGAGAGCACATTCTACTTAGGGGCAAAATAGATTTATAATAATCACCTGAGTGAGTGTAAGTGTTGGGTGTACACTGCAGGAAATTGGTAGGGTGGTCTGTTGGTGACCTGCCTGCTGTGAACCCGTTTTAGTTAGGGAGGTCAGAGAAGGCCTTGGGGAGCCTGGCAGTCCTGGGTTAGGCCTGCGCCCCCACACCTCTGTGCCTTTGCACCAATCTTCAGGGGGATTTGGTGGCAGCCAGAAGGCCGGGGTTGGTGGCTGGGGTGGAAGGCATAAGGCTTCAGGGCCACTCTCTGCGCCCTTTATAGGTCCCTTGTGGTGCACACAGCTCACCTTCCAGCCATGCGCTGCCTCCTGCTACTTGGTACCTTCAGCCTCCTGGCGGTGGCCCTGGCGGCCGAGGTAAAGAAACCGGCAGCGGCCGCAGCTCCGGGCACCGCAGAGAAGCTGAGCCCCAAGGCGGCCACCCTGGCTGAGCGCAGTGCCGGCTTGGCCTTCAGCCTGTACCAAGCCATGGCCAAGGACCAGGCGGTGGAAAACATCTTGCTGTCACCCGTGGTGGTGGCCTCGTCGCTGGGGCTGGTATCGCTGGGGGGCAAGGCGGCCACCGCATCACAGGCCAAGGCGGTGCTGAGCGCGGAGCAGCTGCGCGACGACGAGGTGCACGCGGGCCTGGGCGAGCTGCTGCGGTCACTTAGCAACTCCACGGCACGCAACGTGACCTGGAAACTGGGCAGCCGCCTGTACGGCCCCAGCTCAGTGAGCTTCGCTGACGATTTTGTGCGCAGCAGCAAGCAGCACTACAATTGCGAGCACTCCAAGATCAACTTCCGGGACAAGCGCAGCGCCCTGCAGTCTATCAATGAGTGGGCGGCGCAGACCACGGACGGCAAGCTGCCCGAGGTCACCAAGGATGTGGAGCGCACGGACGGCGCCCTGCTGGTCAATGCCATGTTCTTCAAGCGTGAGTCCAAGACAGGGCAGGGCACATGGGGGGCGGTCCCTTCTCTCAGGAGCCCCTAAACAAGCCTTGCTCATTGAATTCTTCACTGTTTTTATTAAATACAACAACCTTCAGAGGGTGGACTGTTACCAAATCCTTTGTACACCCTAGAAGCTGGGTACAAAGAGACAGCCAGGTGTCTAAAGGAATGGAACAGGGATCCCAGCCCTCTGAGCGATTCCAGATGTGCTCCTACCTGCCGTATTTCATCAAATCAAAGTACTGTCGCTTGTGTGTGTTGGAATTGATAAAATTCAGTGGTCAGTTCTGCCTCAGCAGTGAGCTGGAGAAAGGCACCTTTTCTTTTTTTTTTTTTGGTTTTTCTCCGGTACCGCGAACCGAACTCACGACCTTGTGCTTGCCAGGCAGGTGCTTTTGCCGCTGAGCTAATCCCCAGCCCCAAGGCACCTTTTCTTGATAGCATCCTCCTGGGCAGGTAGTGTTACCCTCATGTCACAGGTAAAGAAACATTTTGAAACCGAAGCTCAGTTCTGCCACAAGCTGCCCAGTTTCCAGGTCACGTTGCATGCCGTGGAGTTGCTAAGTGACTGCAGCAGCTCACTCAGGCCTGCGTGCACCTCCTTGTTGTGCAGCTGCTCCAGGCTCGGCACTGTCTTGGCCTATGATGCGGTGGCTGCCTAGCCCCTCAGCAGGACCAGCCCCAGCTTCAGTTTCCTTACCTGTGGAAGGAGGTAGTAAGTTCAGGACTGAGGCTGAGGGATGAGTACTGAAGATTAGATCTGGAGTTGGTGGATATGTTAGGACCCATGTGAATGGCACTGTTCTCACAATTTCTGTGAAGATGAGGTAACCTGCTTTACAAATGTAGCCAAACTAGGAGCGGGGAGAAGGTCTGACAGCCAGTCAGGAGCTGAGCCTGAATAGGAACGCAGGTCTACTTGTGACTAAACATAAGGCTGAGGCCACTGCCACACATACATTGATTTTGATCACCTTTGCAGCCACACAAACAGAACTTGCAGACAATAATGAAGGGTAGTCACAGGGAGCTCCTAGCCTAGGGGACACCCCCACTCCGCACTTACCATGTCAGGTTACCATGTCAGGTGGAAAGCCCAGCTCAGCGCATTTCTCCAGCATGACATGTACTACCCAGGTAGTAGACACAAGTGGCTGAGCTGAGGTAGAATGAATTCCTTGTCATGTGGGACAGCTGGGTATGGCTAGAGAGAACACCCTCAGCAAATCCTGAGGGAACATGTGCTCTGAGGGACTGAGTGCTTGGGGGTGATGCTTGCAGCCTGACCCATAGAGTGGCAGAGATAAATCCACTGAGGTTTTCTGCTTTCACTGAGGTCAGAGATGAATCCAGAGTAGGCAGGTAGGGTGTTTGTGGGCTGTGAATGTATGTGGGGATGTGAATCTCTAACTCGGCGCTCTGTCCCCGTACAGCACACTGGGACGAGAAGTTCCACCACAAGATGGTGGATAACCGTGGCTTCATGGTGACCCGCTCCTACACTGTGGGGGTGACGATGATGCATCGGACAGGTAGGTGCCTTGCAGAGCAGGGGGCCCAGGTAGGGGTCCCATGTGCTCAGGGTCTGGCCTGCCCCCCCCCACACAGTGTACTCAGTGTCCTCTGCTCTCTGTCAAGGCCTCTACAACTACTATGACGACGAGAAGGAGAAGGTGCAGATCCTGGAGATGCCCCTGGCCCACAAGCTCTCCAGCCTCATCATCCTCATGCCCCACCACGTGGAGCCACTCGAGCGTCTGGAGAAGCTGCTGACAAAGGAGCAGCTGAAGGCCTGGATGGGGAAGATGCAGAAGAAGGCTGTCGCTGTCTCCCTGCCCAAGGGGGTGGTGGAGGTGACCCACGACCTGCAGGTGAGGCTGGGAGGGGGCTTGGACACTCTTCTCTTTGCTAGGGTGACACTGGAGAAGAAGTGTGGGCCCTGCCCGTGGACAGATGATAACAACAGCAGCTAAATACAGCTGGGCACTTGCTGTGTCCCTGGCGGCCTTCTAAGCACCTCATATGTGTTAATTCTCATAATCCTCAAAATAGCTTCTCTGGGGACGATCATGAGCAAGTTGGCAGATGAGGAAACGGAGGTTAAGTTTCCTTAGAAAGGTGACTTAGAGAGGTTGAACAACCTGTCTACAGTCACTCAGCCAGTAATTGGGACGTCTTGCCTTTAAGCCAGCCCTTGGTCCCTGCTATTACTCACCAGTGATAAGAAGACTGGTCCCTGGGTGGTGGGCAGAGGCTCAGAGAGGATCGGTGACTCCCTAAAGGCTCCCTGGCTTGTAAGCTCCACCCCTTACCAGGAGAAAAGTTTCATCTCATTCTTGCCTTGGCTGCCAGAAATGGTTCCCTGGCCACGAAGCACCCTCAAGCAGGAAGTCCAGGATTGTGGGGCAGGCGGGGATGGATTCTGACTTGGTTTTCTGGGTCTCCATGTCGTCACCTGTGAAGCGCAAGTGGAAGCCCCTGAGGGTTGCGGTGAGAGTGAGAGCGGTGTGCCTGGCGCACAGTGGGTAGCCAGGGAGTAGCTGTGCTGTGGAGGAGCAGTCAGCGTGGTGAGGGCAGAGGGTGAGGACGAGTGCTGTGACCCCACCTGACGTCTGGTCCCACAGAAACACCTGGCCGGACTGGGGCTGACTGAGGCCATCGACAAGAACAAGGCGGACTTGTCGCGCATGTCAGGCAAGAAGGACCTCTACCTGGCCAGCGTGTTCCATGCCACTGCCTTCGAGTGGGACACAGAGGGCAACCCCTTCGACCAGGACATCTACGGGCGGGAGGAGCTGCGCAACCCCAAGCTGTTCTATGCCGACCACCCCTTCATCTTCCTGGTTCGAGACACCCAGAGCAGCTCCATGCTGTTCATTGGGCGCCTGGTGAGGCCCAAGGGCGACAAGATGCGAGACGAATTATAGGGCCCTAGAGCATGCAGGGATGGCAGGAGGCAGCCTGAAGGCTCCTGAGACACATGGGTGCTACTGGGGAAGGGTACTACCAGCCTTGGGTATTCTACGGGGTGGGGGTGGAAAAGGACCAGGGTTCCCATGTGTCCCAGTGGACCTGCCCAGCTAGAGTCCACTCCGCATGGACCCGGGCCCCCAGAAACCATGATGCTGAGCCCAGAGACGCCACACACGGTGGGAGCTGGGTGTCTGATCCTGCTCTATCTTCAAAGTCCTAGATCCAGCCTTCCTCAACCAGCCAATCAGTGTTCCTATTTATAGCCAGGTGCTTTCAAATCTGTGAGACCATTGAGCTAGGGGGTTGGCCCAGCTACCACCACCACCACCACCTCAGCCCCACCTTGGCTCCCCAGACCTCTCCCAGCTTCCCTCAACTACAAAACTAGGTGCTGTAGCCCCTGGGACCAGGCACACCCAGGATGGCTTAGGTCCCAGTAACGAGTGGGAAAAACAGCTCGAAGGAGGGGCTCCTAGGCAGACCCCGGTTAAGAATTGTTACATGGGGCATCATGGGGATGAACGTTTTATGTTTTCTTTTTTTTTTTTTTTTTTAAGTTTTTCAAAGATGGGAAGGGGAAACATGAGCCTTTGTTGCTGTCAAAATGAGAACTTATTTGTACAATCATTTTTTCAATAAAACTTTTCCAATGAAATTTTGCTGGAGCATGGAAGAAGCTTGGGTCAGGAGATAGCCACATCCTTCGTCCCAGGGGACAAGGTCTCCTTCAGTTTAGCTCACGGGAGGCCCTGTAATGCTGGTGGGTTAACTGCAGACAACGCTGTGGGGTTGGCCCCGGAGTGCTCCCTGGAGACACATGGCCCTGGCAGCCCCAAGGGACAGTGCTGACCCCCCCAGCCTGGGCACCCTGGGAATGCTGTGCAGGGCCCTGGTCTTTACCCTCTAAGCTTTCACTGAGCTGAGGTTACAGTCTCTCATTAGCATGTTGCCTGCCTTTGGGCTTTGGAGACAACAAGCTTGTGGGATCCTTCCCTTCAGGCACTGTCTTTGTCCTTAAAGCTCCAGATACCATTGCTCAGGAAGGGAGAGGGATGCACAGGACAGGAGACCTGTGGCCAGCGATGAGAGGAAACCAGATTTGAGCTCCATCTCTGCTACATGCAGGCTGTGTGATCTTAGGCAGTTCACTCCCCGTCTCTGGCCACTTCTCCATATTTCCCTCTGTTAACAGCTCTGCCCTAGAGGTCACTGGTCTAGGGAAGGGCTCCCTATTTTGTCAGGCAATTTGGCAGAGTCCCCCTAGACTTAGATGGGGTTGCATATGGGCCAACTGATTCCTGTTATCACTCCATGGAGTTTTACCAAAACTGGTCAAGGGTCCAGGCCTGTTCTGTGCTGCGGACTCAATAAATTAGATCTTTACCCTTACGGGGCTTTATCTAGAGGTAGAACGGTAGGTATACTCAGGACTGCCTGTGCTGCAATTGCCTGGAGCATCCTGTTGTCATGCAAGTGGCACTTTCATCACTGCCTCAGGGCCTTTGCACAAGCTGCTCTTTCAACCTGGCAAACAGTTCATGTAGATCTTTTCAGGGTTGCTGTTGTCACTCTGGATTCATGTCACCTACTCAGAGACCTTCCTGACCACCCAATGTAACAAGCCCCTCTCCCACTTCAGCCTCTTATTTTCCTTACTTTTTAGCCCTATGACATTACCCACACCATTTACTGTAGGCCTTTGCTGTCTGCCTCCCCCCTGAAAATGAATGCAGTATGAGAATAGAGACCATGTTTGTTCATTGCTGTCTACCCCACAGCTAAATTCAGCATCATAACATATAAGGCACTGAAACATTTGCTGAGCACATGAAAGGGCTGTTGTGGAAGGAAGGGAATCAGGACTTCAGGGGTCCAGAGGAGGAAGGGATGGCTTCCAGAGAAATGACAGGTGGGGTGCCTTGAAGGGTGAGTGAGCATTTCTTGGTCAGAATAATGCTTTTTGCTTTTTCTGAAACATACTTTCCTTGTGTAGTTCAAGTTGGCTTTGAACTTTTGGCCATCCTCCTGCCTCAGCCTCCCAAGTGCTGGGATTATAGGCGTGCACCACCACATCCAGCTTTAGAATAATGACCTAATAATATGCCAGTATTATTTTTGTGTTTTGCTCCTAATGTCTGCCGAATACTGGACATTCATCGTTTTATCCAAGTCTCCTAGCAGCTTGGTTGGGGGGCGGGGCTTATCCTTCTTTTATATGTGACATAACTGAGGTTGAAAGATGCTTGGGGCCTCTGGGATGTGGCTGAACTGGGGTTCAGTACTGGTCTGCTGGGTAGCTGCTCCTGCCTCCACTATGCACGAAGCGCAGGGCAGGAACTGACTGCGTCCTGATCACAGAGGTGCACACACCCACAGTAGCCCAGCGAGGTGGGAAGCCTTGCTTTTTGAGAGATGATCTCCCTGTGTTACCCAGGCTGTCCTCAAATCTCTGGACTCCATGATCCTCCCTCCGGTGTCCCCAGGACCAAACCCGGGTCTCCGCCATCTCTGACATTCGGCGTGCAACAGCTCCCCCACCAGGTGGGAAGGGGCAGTGAACAAGCCGGCCCGGGTAGGGTCGCGCCGATCACACGAAGGGAAACAGCCTCGCTCCTACCTCCCGCGCAGGTTAGAGATCTTCTTGCAGCTCGCATCTGTAGCTCTCAGCAACAGCTGTCCGGTGCTGCTGACGTGAGGGCAGCAGTGCGGGTGGCGGAAGGAGCGGGGAAGAGTAGGTGGGTCCGTCAGGGACCTCCCGCAAGGGCCGGTCACCGTCCCGAGCCTTTCCCGCCGCCTGGAGGCCGTTGGAAGAATCACCTGTTCTCACCGCTGCGCTTGTGAAAGCTGCGGACAGATGATGAGCCTGTTGGATTTTGAGGGCCCCAGATGTGGGTGCAAACGGGGGAGTTGGGGATTAACTTCTTACTGAGCACCTACTGTGTGCTTGGCACTGCCATGTATGATCCCATCAATTCTCAGAGCTTCCCTAAGGAGTAGCTATCACTGTCCCATGTTACAGGTGGGAAAGCTGGGGCCCAAAGGGGTGAAATGACCAGCCCTCAGCCACCCTGCTAGTCAGTGACGTCCTGGCCCTCATAGGAACTCAAGTCTGGCTGTGGAGGAAGGAGAAGGTACTGATATGTGTGAGTTCCTCGCTGCACACTTTATCGGGGCAGTCACCAATGGGGTTCTATATCATCTCCTCCCCAGTCCTTGCAGCGCGGGATTATTGTCCTCCCTCTGAGACGCCAGCTACAACCTCTTCAAGGGCAAGCGTGGCTTCTTCTGAGCTCCTACTGCTCTGTGGGCACCTGGCACAGTACATACTGCATTGTCCCTCTGCATGCTCTCGGGGACACTCAGTCCTGCATGTGTCCTGCTTCCCTCTTTCCTCCTTTCCCTCAGTGTGACCTGGGGATGTCTGCTTAGCGCCACCACTCTCGCCTCCCAGGTCTCAGCTGTCAGGGGAGCACTGAGCTCAGGCCCCAGGCTGGAGCTTCGTGCCTGCAAGATAAGGAAGCGTCTCTGCATGTGCAATGCCCGGGCTCAGAAATGCCCAGCTTGTTGCTTCCTTTCCCCCAGGTCAGTTCTTCATTTACCCATCTCAGCACACGTCAGAGGGCACACTCAACGGGGTGGAGGATAGGAGAGTGCTAAGCCGCATTAGATGGCTTATTAAGGTGTGAGTTTAATGCTGCAGCCACCAAACCACCTTGTCGCTTTATCCGTTGAACTCAGAGCACTGCTAGGTTTTAGGTGATACTGAGGCCATTGATCTCAGGGGACGAGACCGGAGACATGTCCTATGGTCTAGTGCACCCTTAAGCTCTGCTTCGCTGTGCTGTCTTGCAGCCACAGTGCCTGCTCATTTGCCTGTTGACACTGCTGCAGTCCTGCCCGAAGACCTTGAAATAACCTTGTTTCGGAAGCTACCCGGCAAAGCGTTTTAATTGGTTGTTGCTGAGTAATGAGCCACTGCACACTTTGCCGTTTAAAACAATTTATTGTTCTTTACAGCTCTGCGGGCCTTGTCTGGGTTTGCTCATTTGGGTATGCTCACTAGGCGCTCAGCTAAGCTGGGACAGCTGCGGTCCTGAGCCTCTCTGTTCCATGTGCTCCTTCACTCTGGGTTCTGTGGGCTCAGTGGCCCTGCTCGCTGGGTGACTTCCTCCTCCAGAACCTGGAAGACCCCCCACTTGAGCAAGGCACCCAGAAGTATATCTGTAAGGGGGCGTCTTTGAAACATGTTGGTACTTGTTCTCCACAGGCCAGGGATGCAGGTGAAAGATGCTGCCATGGAAATGGGCTCCATGGCTACAGTGGAGATGATGGGCTCTCAGGGCAGCAGCACTTGACTGGGCAGGATTTCAGGCCTTAAGTGCCAGTCGGCATGGTCTGTCCTATAGGTGTCTGTTATGGCTGGTATCCAGATGTCCCCCCAAAGCCTCGTGTGCTCATAGGTGGGACTTTTTGGAGGTGGCTGGATCTAGGGTGCGAGATACTGGGATTAAGGGTATGTGGTGACTAAGTGGATTTAGCGCAGTTCTGAGTGTGGATGACGGAAGCCTCACTCTGGGTATGATGGCACCAATGAATAGGCTTATAACGTGGATGGAATATAAAGGGAGAGAAGGAAAGCTGGCTTGCTGGTGCTGTTTATGCTTCTCAACCTTTGGGCTTTGGGCTTTTGTGTATTTTGGACAACATATATCACATGTTGGTGTGCTCCTCTGATCCATTTGCTGAGTAATTTACTGGCTGGCAGCTTTGAGTGGACCCAGAGCAAGTGAAGTCTTCCAGATGGTCCAGGCAGAAGGCCAAGCAGCGCTGTCACACAGCCCTGATGACTCATGAGACCCAGAGATGACTTCAGAGTCTCTGGCTGATGGGAAAGATGTTTGAATCCGCACAAACCCCAATAGAAGAATCACCATCGGCTTTGCAGGGCTTAGGAGCAAAGTTCAATGCTCTTAGACGAGCAATCGTCCCTCTTTTGAGGAAGAGCTCTTGGCTCAGTGCTGGGCTTAGCTAAGAAGGGTCCCTGTGTGGGAGACACCAAGGGGCTATGAGAGTTATTGATGCCTGTTACATAGTCTGCTTTTCTGTCAGGTATACTTGGGTGTTTGTGCTCAGTGAAATGTCAGTGAATCACAGAGCAGGTCTGGAAGCACACTTGATATCTCCCCTTATTTATCCTCTGTTCACTGTAGTTGGCTCTGTGCTCTCCACTCAGAAGGGCTGGCCAGATCATCAGTGATCTCTTTATTGCTAGTTCAGTGGACATTTAAAAGAGAAAAAATTTATTTTAAACTAGATGTGGTGGTAAACACCTATAATTCCACTACCTGGGAGACTGAGGCAAGAGGATCCCAAGTTTGGGGACAGCCCAGGAAACTTACTGAAATCCTGTCTCAAAATAAAAAATATAGGGGCTGGGGATTTAGCTCAGCGGCAAAAGCACCTGCCTGGCAAGTGCAAGGTCGTGAGTTCGGTTCCCGGTACCGGAGAAAAACAAAAAAAAATTAAAAAATTAAAAAAAAATAAATAAAAAATATAAAATTCTCGGATGTAGCTTAGTGGTGGAACACTTGCCTACCATATGTGAGGCCCTTAGTGTAATTGTCAGTATGCATAAAACAAAAAGAATTATTGCTACAATGAAAAAGAGACAATAACAAGTATTGGTGAGAATGTGGAGAAAATAGAACAGTCATACACTGCTGGTGGGAATGTAAAATAGTGCAGTCCTGGCCCATGGAGAATCAGCACCAAGCCATAGAGGCTGTCAAGTAGGTGGCCTGAGATGGAGAAGGGATTGAAAAGTAGATGCTTTGGGGGAGCAGTGGCTTGGCTTAGGTAACTGAGGGATGTAGAGATGGCAGGATCACAGGGCCTCTGGGGGGTGGGTAGGGCTGGATGTGGCTGGCTACAGAGGTGCCTGGGAAAACTGGGTAAGCTCTGGAGATTCCTGGCCAAGGCTGGTATACAGGAAACTGAGTTTCCAGGACCCTCCCGGCTTGGGCTAGGGGCAGCCATAGTGAAAATCTCTGTGACTCTTCTCAGGACAGCCTAAGCCTCTGGAATTGTAGGAGTCCTAGAGACAAGATGAGGCTCTGGGGACATGACTAATTTCAGATTTCCTGCCAACCCTGGCAATGAGGGGAAGGGGCTCCAACTGTGCTTAATGTGATGTATCAAAATAAAGACAAGTGACACATTGTATACCGTGAGCACCATTGTTATAAGCAATCACAGATTACAATATGTTTGTGGTAAAGAGGGGGGACACAGAAGTAGAGAAAAAGCAGGCAGATCCTCCACTTCTTTAAGTGGGAACAGTGAGTGGATCGAAGTGATGAATTGGAAGGGGGATGGGAGGTGAGTATGCAAAGGGTTTCCAGGTTTCTTGCTGAGAACTACGTCAACCTTGGTATATTCCCACTCCGCTCCTCGAGGCCTGGATCCCCTCTGCAGCAGACTCCCACAGTGACCTCTAGTACCACCTGGCTCCTGTCCTGTCCCTATCTCCACGCACTGTGTCCTGCTCCCCCAGTGCATCACAGGTGCCAAGGCAGTGCTGGGCACACAGCAGGTGTAAAGGGAAGGGGTCCCTGTGTGAGAGAAGGAACAGCATCTCTGCCTTTCCCAGGACCAGCCATGGGGCCTCACTCCTGCTCCAGAGAGTGAGCAGGGGCTCCAAGACCTGCCTGCTCGGGTGGCTCCAGCCTTCACCAGGGCAGTGGCAGAGTACTGGATCCAGCTGCCGGCCCTGCAGTCTCCACAAGTAGATTCTGTCCCCTGAGCCAGCAGCCGGCAGCCTCCCCTCCCAGAGACACCCCACCCTGGCACTCCAGTGGCGCAATTGGTTAATGTGCGGCACTCCACACATATCCGCAAAGGGAGAGCTGGAGACGGCATATGCTTTGCAGGGGCTGAGAAGTGACTGACGGAAGAACCAGACCATCAGTGAAGTCCGTATCTGAGAAGGGCCAAGAGAGTGCAATCCATCTTCCGCCTTCCCCTACCTCAGCCTCCTTTCCCTGCAGTGAAAAGCGGGGCTCTCAGGGCTGGATACTCTATGTGGAAAGGGTAGGGGGACACAGCTTGTAGCTCGGAACTCCGCACCTTGCAGTTCACCCCTGAGCCGGCGGACTTTTGGCTCAGGATCTTGTCCCTTGTCAGGACCCTTTCACAAATGAGGATATTGACTGGGTGGGGCCAGGCTCCTCGCAGAAGCTACCAGGTCTAACACCAGCCTCAGTACTCTCTGTACTTACTCTGCCAGCTCGACCCTGTGCATGATTGTCTCCCTGTGGGGTTGTTCTCAGCATCTGAGGGCCCTGGTTCCTCCTTCCAGCCTTTCTCACCGTTCTCTGGGTGCTTCTCTTCTGGTCTCTGAAAGACTCCAGAGCTGTGAACTGGGCCACTTCTCCTTCCATTCTGATGCTGACTCTGAGGGGGCGCAGCTTCCCCCATGGAGCTTCAGAGCTACATGCACAAGGCCACTGTCCCTTCAAAGGTCCACATGGTGGCTGCCTGCACATCTGCCTCTCGGTGTCAGGGTTAGAAGGAGAACTGAGCGGAGGAAAGAAATGCCCACACAGCAGTTCTCTCAGCAGGGCCTCAACTTGGCCTTTTCTTGTCTTCAGGTCCCTGACTGGGGGTGCTTATATGTCAGCAATTTCTGGGGACCACTAGAGTGTGTGTGTGTGTGTGTGTGTGTGTGTGTGTAGCTGGCTGCTGGGGGTAGAGTCCCAGTGCTATGGGAATGGGGTGAGGAGGCTGGCCTGGGCCAGCTGGGTGGATGTGGAGAAGGACATTCTTTAGCTACTCTTTCAATGTATTGCCTTAGAACTGACCAATCCATGATTGTTGGGTTCCGGAGGAAGTCTAGCAAAAGCATTGGTGGAAAGGAAAAGATTACAGAACCTGTGTCCTTGTGGAAAGCCATGGGGTCAACACTAAATGCTTTGCTGAGACATGCCCGAAGGAATGATAACATGATGGCTAACTAAGTCAAGTCTCATTCCTATGATAATTGAGTTGTATTGTCCTTGCTAAAATGGTTGATATCCTCCCATTTACCCAGCTGCTTCCTTTGTTCTTTCTCAATAAAAGGTTACTGAGATTGGCAGTTGAGGCTGTAGTCCAAGAGGCTGTAAGCCCCCTGATCCCAGAATTACGCCTGTCTTGTTTTTCTTGTTTCTCTTACTTTTCTTTTCATCTGCGGGTACCTTGTTCTCTGGACTGGTTCACCCTGGACAGAAGTGGATTATTAATCTGACAGGTGGAGAAGGCTTGCCCAGGAAACTGGACATCAGTACTTCCTGTGGTGATCTATCTGGAAGAACTGAGCTGGGCTCCCATACGGGGGTGACCTTCAAAAGCGGTAAGCATGTTCAGTGGGGGCCATAGGTAGCACTTCCCCTTTCCCCAGCTCCCTGAGGGCTCTGGGCTTTAAAAGGGAGGCCAGTGCACGATTTTGAGGCCCACACCAGTGGGATCCTGGCAGGACCCATCTTTGACCAAGGCTGAGCTTCACGCCTGCTGGCAGCTCCCCAGTCTTCTTCCCACGGCCTGGCTGTGGGTCTTGAGCCTGCCAGTGCCGCACTCACAGGCCACAGGGCTGACACCCCGCTCCCTCCCTAATGTCCTTGGGTTCACAAAGCTGATTGTCCTGACTGGTCCTTGTTTTCTGCCCCAGAGACCTGCCATACCTCTTGGTCAAGTCCTTGTGCAAACCAAATTATTTCTATTCAGGGACTTCTAGAATGGGCCTCACCCTGGTCATCCAGTCGTACCCATTTGCTTTTTTCTACCCTCTGCCTGGGCTCTCCAACACCCTTTCAGAATGAAAGCCACTTTCCCAGGAAGCTTTCACTTCTCTGTCCTCTCAAAGCCAGGCCTTCACTATCCTAAAAGCCTCATCACACACCATATTTTACTGTCATAAGACTGGAATTCATTACCACAGTGACTCAATTCTGGTACAAAGTAGGTGCTAATGAAAAGTCTGTTGTATGCATGATGAATGGGGGGGGTGTCGGGCATATTTTATTAACAAAATTTTTGAGTTGGGGTCTTACTATGTTTTCTAGGCTAGCCTGGAACTCCTGGGCTCAAGTGCTCCTCCTGCCTCAGCCTCCCAGTTAGCTGGGCCTATAGGCATGTGCTATGGAGGCCTACTCAAGGTGGTGTTTTAGATGCCCTGATATGTCATGGATATTGAATGAGGATCATCACATGTTAGGTTCTGACTTTGTTAATGTCCTGAGACTCCTGATCAGAGGCTTAGTTTTCTCAAGAAGTTCGAGCCTGGATGATCATTGAGACTGAGCCTTTGGCAAACAACTGTCACCCAGAATTACCTTGGGCTGACGGGGTCTCGGCTTCTGTTTTGTCTGCAGCCCTCAACTCTGATGTGTTCAGGGCTCAGCCTGCTGGGATTTGGTGCCTCTTGCTAGGTTTTCCTGGGCTCTGCCTTTGCTTCGCCCTGCTTACTTTCATGATGGGTCCTGTCCTGTCTCCTAGCATTACCGGGCCACTCCCATCTCACACTGAGAATTCGTAGGAATTGGGCATTGCTTAGACTCCTCTGGCCCATGCAGGTGACTGATGTGCTCACCTGGCAGTGAGTGCACACGGCCTGCACACATACACACTCAGGTGCCCCTGTCCCCACACAGCCAGAGAGACACAGCTGAGCCAGGGACCAGTTTTATTAGACTCCAACAAGGCTACACAGCACGTGTTTCATGCAGATTAAATATGTGTCTTTACTGCCCCTGGGAGGGGTGCACTTTCACGGCCAGCTCCTTCAATGGCATGTCAAGAGGCGCATGTCAAGGAGACCCCTCAATATACTCCCCATGAGGGACAGTTGGGATCATGACTGGGGGTGGAGGTGAGACAGTGGGCAGTTTAGGGACCCTGGAACCTTGAGTCTTCAGAGGTTCAGGAACCACGGGACCTTGGTCTTTTGCTGGTGCTGGCACCAGAGGATCTTGATCCTTCAGAGGCACAGGGGTTACGGGACCTTGATTCTTTGGAGGTTCGAAGATCATGTGACCTTGATCCTTGGATACTGCTGGGATGATGGGGTCTTTGTTCTTTATAGACTCAGGGACCGCAGGACCTTGATTCTTTACAGGTGCTATGACCATGGCACTTTGATCCTTCCAATACTCTGGGACCATGCGACCTCCGTCTTTGTCAGAAGCTGAGACCATGGAATCTTGATCCTTGACAGGTGTTAAGACCACAGGACCTTGATCCTTTGGGAGTGCTGTTACCACAGGACCTTGATCTTTAAGTCTTATTGGAACCACAGGACTTTGATTCTTTAGAGGATCGGGGACCAAGGGACCTTGGTCCTTGGCTGGTACTGAGATAACAGAACCTTCATTCTTTAAAAGCTCAGGGACCATGTGATCTTTATCCTTGATTGGTACCAGGACCACTGGACTGTGATCCTTTGGAGGCCCTGGGACCACAGGACCTTGATCCTTTGGAGGCCCTGGGACCACAGGACCTTGATCCTTTGAAGGCCCCGGAACCAGAGGACCTTGATCCTTTGGAGACCCTGGGACCACAGGAACTTGATCCTTTGGAGGCCCTGGGACCACAGGAACTTGATCCTTTGGAGGCCCTGGGACCACAGGA